AGTTCACTCACTTGCCAGCCTGCCTGGCCCGGTGCTGAGGGATTATAACCAAAAAAAAAGAGACCAAACAACAAAAAAAACACGTGTTCCGTTGCGTAGAGGAATCATGGAGGAGTTGTTATGTCAGGCCTTCACTCACATGTTTTTTCTTTCGCGACGGTCCACAAACTGCACCAGTGTGTCGATCAAGCTCCTGATAGGAGGAGTGATCTACACGCTTCCGGGCCTCCGGGCCTGTGCACAATCCGAGTCGTAGAGTCCAGGCAGCCCGAGGTTGCGCAATGCTTGCGTCAGCTCTTCGAAGGCACTCTTGTTGGACCCGTCGTCCTTCGCCACCTTCGCCAGGTTCCACCTACTGTGCAAATTGCATTCCCCAGCAGGAGCTGATGAAGCTGGTGATGCGCACAGGTGTGGAGGCCAAAGGCCATGGTGTGGCGGTCCCTGCGAGGTTGTCAAGGTGCATTGCTTCTACCTATATGAAGGTGGCAATCTTGTCTCGATCGAAGAGCAACTGTACTAGTACATGCTAGTACAAGCTATGCACAAACTACTCCCAACATAAAGCTCCAGATTTTATATCTCTATGCATACGTGGAGGTGATTGCCACCAATGTGTAGGACCCTCCTTTAGCTGCTGGCACCTTTGGTGACCAGCAGGAATCACTGCGCTGGGACTTGCTGAGCTGATGATGGATAATGATGGAAGCGCTGGCCAAGGTCGACATCGGCGCGATTAGTTGGACGGTGACCTGCGCGCTGCGTTGCGTTGCGTGTGTGGCCCAGTGAAAAGTTGTCGCAGTAGCATCCAAGAAGGGGAACGTTCTGCTCCATGTGGCGACAACGAATCTGCCAAAGAACACGGCATCGGCTCGAAACAGCAATGTTGGTTCAGGGTTGTCGGAGTCCACCGTGGTGGCACCAAGCCGGCTGCACGATGCTCCTTGGCCGAACTGGGCCAACCGGGACGTAGACGAGCTGCAGGCTCAGATTCCAACTCTTGACTCTTGACTGCCCAATTACTAATGGAAATAGTAAGAAGGTTCCCCTTCACATTGCGACGCCGGAGTCACTACAGGACATGCCACTTCCATCTTCAGATCCACCAACACTCTCTCGGATCCCCAGCCTCCTTGCATGAACGACCTTGCGCGATTGTTGTGCCCTGCCGGATTTGACTTCAGACTTGCCGAGGTCCCTTGTGGCAGGTCAACGCAACCAAGCAGTCTCGTGAGAAAGTCAGAAGTCACAAAACAATGCCAAAACTCTCACTCTCACCTTCAAGTCATGGGATACCTAACAATCTGGGATGCAAGCCCCAGGTTTCGAAGCACAGCTGCCTGCCACAGGATTGGGCAGGACTTCCCTGCAGTCTCACAACTGGCCACTATACTGAATTGCGAGCATTGGCGAAATCATTGGGGCCCCACCTCTGCTGGGATCATGGAATGTCGCCCCAGGCTGTTGCAGTTCCATTCCTTGGCACCACGCGTGCTCTGGCTTTGAAATAGTGCTCTGAGCGCCCTGCATCTTTGTATCACAATCAGAAGGCTGGTTGTGACCCTGCAATCCAGGCCCCATGACATCGGACAGGCGAGTGTAGTTGCCGTTCATAGCCAGCAGCCAAGGAGGTTGGGACATGCCCCCCACCTACAAGCACACTGCTTCGCTGGCTGCCAGCATCTATGCCTACAAATTGCTGGTGGAGCGCATATTATGGGATGCGCTTCTAGGCAGCCGACCCAAAGGTCTATCTCAGAAGCACGATAAACATCCTTGGTCTGCTCCGCTTTCTGGTGGTTCCTACTCTAATAGCATTTCTCCAAATTCTCCAAGCCCTAAGCAAGCCATTTCTCAATGGACTCCGTGATCCTCATGCTGTTCCAAGCCACTACCTGGCAGCTTCAGCAACGCAGTAACTTCCAGAAGCGGCTGCGAGTAGCTAAGATGCTTGCATCGAGGAGCAGCAGACCCCGGTTGGCGATGCAGGAGTCCGGGTTTATCCTGTTGCATGAAAAGCCATCGCTTTGCCAGGAGAACCTGTGGACGTGTGCCGTTCTGTCAACTTGGGCGGCTCACCCTTCGTAGCCTAAGTCGTGGAGGACGTCGAAATTGATATAGGACTTGAGCCTTTGATTCTTTCAGACATGAGATAAACAACTACTCCTTAGCTTTAGCTTTCTTTTGCATCACAACTCGGCCGACGAAAGATGAGAAGCTGAGAGCAATACTGCTGGTGGCAGTATGGAACAGCTGCGCAAACCTTTCCCTGCATGTCCATATCCTCACATTTGCAACGTGGACCCGAAGCACCTGAACCTTGACTGACATCTCAAAGAAAAGCTGTATAAGTCCATGACAAACAGCTGGGCTAGGTCGCCAAGAATGACGATGTCGGCATCAAAGTATACCAGCCTCACCATCTTGAGACCGTCGGGCCCCGCAAGTTGTGGCGGCGCTACTCTTTGGCAGGCTGGTCTTGTGGGATTGCTCTTGAACAGGGAGGCAGCGTCGCAAGACCACTAGCACTTCAAGCCTGCTGGCATCAGGACATTGCATTGCTTGACAGAAGCTGGAATGTCTGGAAAAAAACGCACATCGCATGCCTTTCTCAATTAGAAAGAAGTGTTTGATGGGGCCGAAGGCAGAAAGACCATGTTTCGTTCAAGGGCTTCAACAGATGCACTGTGGCACAGGCCAACCTTTCTGGACAATGGCAAGTCGAGCATGCAAGAAATCAATTTCAAGATTTGTAAAAAGAAAAAAAAAAAGAAGAAGCGGCCCAAAGCAGTGTGACTGTATCTAGCGTCTGCCTCTCTGTCTGCTCGGTGAATGTCTGGCTGGATGGCAGCCTTGGCTAGCCAGGTCATGAACAACGCTCAAGGGCAGTCTGTAGTTCTCTTTTCGACAAAGAGCCTGACCTTCTTGGACTGACACCTATCTCCAACAAGCTACATTGTCTTGCAACTTGCACTTAGGTTCGGAGCAGAAAGTGTGGCAGGTAAAACCTCAGCAGCTGTTAAGTCGGTGATCGACGAAGTTCAGACATGTAGACACTACGAGGCTGCTGCGGGGCAAAGTTGAATGGACTTGCAAGCACCTTGCGGCCTGTCAGCCAAAAGGACACGTCTCCACAACCCATGCTGCATCTGTTCCTCAAATGGTGGTCCTGCTCCCTTGCGAAATTTGATTCGGCTCTGAATGGCTTGCTGCAGCTCTTCGTCAGCATGCACCTGCTGACAGGATGTGCTGCAACTAAGCATAGTCTCGTAATGCTGCTTTGCCTCCAATCGTATGCCTGGAAGTTGTAGCTTTGCCACGATCAGGAAGCGACTTGGCCAAGACAGCCGCACTGCTTGCACTTCAACTATGTATTCTGATGCATGAGCAACAAAGTAGCCCCTCTAACATCCAGCTGGGCCCTTCGCGCTTGCAGTTCCGGAGTCGTGATGAAGTGGAACCTTCAGTGGGTGCAACTCTGACTTACTAATTTCAATCCAATTCATCGTCTGAATGGGGGACACGAATCGCTGCGGCTGTGCCGAAGATGCCACGGCAGACCGAATGGCCACCACTGCGGGGCCTCAGATCACCCATGGCACAACTCGCAGATGTGTCCAAAAGCGTCCATGCGCAAGCAGAAGCAGAGTGCTTTGCGGAAATCCGGGTCATCACTACACATGCAGAGATGAACCGTCCTGAGGAAGGTCGGTAATCCATAGCACGAGATGTCACGAGCAAGCACACGGCAGCTCGATCTTGAAGCGTACTGGGGAAGGGCCATCTAAATGCGGAAGGTCACTCCTCTCATCCATTACGTTCCCCACACGAAGTGAGTACGAGAGGAGGGGATAATCTGAAGAACATGCGGCATGAGTTTTGTGCTGGTTTACATGTATTGGGGCGGGTGAAGACCTGGGTTCGGTCAGCTGAACTGCGGATTCTGATACTTCATCTGCCCTCTACGGTACATGTCCCACGAAGACAATGATAGGGATACTCACTAGTCGGCAGCGCATAGCTCTGGCCTGGAGTCGGCAGCGCTTCGTGACGAATCCTGCTTTGAAACGAGCAGCGTTGTGGACTGGCGCAAAACCCGACACTAACGACCTCGCGCCTCAGCGGGAGCATGGTCGGAAGCACAGCCTGCACCAAGCCTGAGCTGCAAAGTCCTTTGAAGATTTTGAACCTTTTAAAGCCCCATCAGCCGAGGCAAGATCGCTTTGATCTGTGTTGACGTGAGCCAGACCTGCATTCCACTTGACGGCGGGAACGTCGATCCAACACATGACTTCAACGAGGGCCACACAGAACCCAGGACCAGGAAGCCCAGGCCCTGCAAGCCCGAAACAATTTAGTTGAGTCCATCTTGCCAAAGGACAGTAGAATCCCCATGTTTGGGAGCTTTCAAGGGCCCCAGCCAGGGTGAGCCATTGCGATCGCATCGGCGCATGTGCGCGTTGGTGTAGGTGCAAGGTAGGTCTTGGAGTGCGCTGAAGTTTGCCAAGCTTGCGGGCTGGAGGAGTGGAACGTATCAGCGTGGCTTGCATGCCCTCTCTGCCAGACTGTTCTGATTCTGGCAGCAAGCAGTTTTTTCGCTAGGCTTGCATGAGCATTCTCCGGCTCTCGGTATTTTGCTGTCAAAAAAGCAATGCATGTCCTATCGGTAGGGTTTATCCCTGCTGCCTCCCCAAATTTCTGATAGCCTGTATGTTTCGCAGCACACAACATCTTCCCATACAAAGCTTGCGACTCTTGTACCGGCCCTACATGCATCTACATGCACACCATGCACACTGCGCGAAAGTGTCTGGAGTTTTCGCCGCCAGGCTGCGCCCCACCTCAGTGCCTGCGGCGACTGCCTCGTGCACTCAAAAGTCCGGAATCACGATCATTCTGCACGCCACACAGGCCCGGCATTGGCTGCTGTGGGGAGCAAGGAGCGACAGAAACAGAATGTATGATCTTTGCTTGTTCGTGTTATGCTGGGTTTCTGGCGATCTCGGCTGTCTCTCCGCCTGTCATCGTGTCTTCTTTCCTGGCCTGGGTGAGCCCATGAATGTACTGCTTTTCTGTATCAAGTTGTTCAACAGGGTTGAGGTTACAACAATATACAACAACAGGTGCAGCTCAATGCCTGCAGTTATACGCATTTTCGGCGGCAAGGTGTGTCCAAATCGCTTGCCAAAAGATGCTAACAGAAAACATTGTCATCGTGACTTTGTGAAGTAAGTTTTCTGCGAGGGCAAAGAAAGTGCAGTTCTGTGGCATGATACGAGCCTGCTGCATCAAACTGCACGCTCTGGAAGTCTTTCTGGCAGTTGCAACCCTGCACTTGTTGAAGTACGTAGGATGAAGTAGGTGTATTTCAGCCGGGGAGCGACCACGGCGACTTCGTGAGCTGCTTCCACTGCTGCCTGAAGGATTAGCGGGTACTGAAAGCTCGGGCTTCTTCGACTCCGGCCCCTTCCACTTGATGTAGGGCCGTAGGGGCTATGCGTAAACCATGTGCCATGCAACCTGCCGGCCATGCGCCTTGCGATTTGGTAACTCTGTTTTGTGAGTTTTCGCTGGCATGACTCCAGATGACATTCTCACAACTCTTTGTGCAAGGCTGCATGCAGGATACCAAGATTGCGGTTCCCCTCCCCGGCCCTTAGTCCCCTTGGCGATGAGGAAAGGGGCCCAGGCCCAGTTCCGATGCCATGCCGTGCCATTCTTCACAGCGAAAGCTGGCAGATGCAGTCAATGTCAGTAACATAGATAGACCTCCTGCTGCAAGTTGTCAAGTCCCCCGAAGCCTCAATCTCGAAATCGAGCGGAACCCAAACAGATCAAACAGGCAGCTGTGAAAGCAACGCGGGAGCCGCTACTTTGACAGGTGGACTGTTGTCCAGGTCAGGTCAGCTATGTAGGTAGCAGCCAGCCCAAAGCTCCTCAGTAACTCCAATCCAAACCTTCCCGAACCTTTTTCAGTCGTGCCCTTTTGCTGGTCACTGTTGTTCCTAGTCCCTGTGACATCCCGCGAGCCAGGCACATCATCCCAGTTTCTTGGGCTGCTGCTCCGAGTTCGGCTGCGTTCCCGCCTGACACTCGACGGTTACCAGTACTGCAGAAGTACAGGAACAGCAAGCAAGCACCATCAGCGACAAGCGCTTTCTGCAATGTTTTAGCATGCTTGCATGCTTAGTCTCTTAAAGTTGCAGTAGTTTGTGGGAAGCGTGCAAAACAGCCGTCTTGAGTAAATGGACAACTGTGGATTTGAATTCTGCCTGTCGGCCCACTTCCCACTGGCACATGGCCCGCATGTTGAGCGGGCGCTGGGCAAAGTGTGAGGGCAAGCATCGTGGAGATACAAAATTCGCTTGCAGTTGCGGAGCTGAATGCAGAGTGTTTCCAAGCAGTGTTCCTCCATCCATTGACTAGAACAGAACGTTCTAGGACCTGGCATATTCTTCTTATGTATATCCAAGTCACGGGCGCCACCAAACGTTCGAAACATCTGCGAGGCTATCTCAAAGCTACGATAAACTACGTCACGGCCAGGCACCAACCGGAAAACATCATAACACCTCTCTCACCTTAGCCAACGCTGGCAGCACCATCTGTACAGATTGCCAGGAGGCAATAGGCAGAACTTCCGCCAGACCTCATCCCTTCCATCTATGAATCATCAAATCGGTTGTGCAGCGCTGTCGTTGCTGCAGAACGCCGGCACCTGTCCATGGTAACCCAACGGGATTGCAGGCATGCTGTGGCAAATACTTTTGGAGGCTTGTACAGAAGGGCTCTTTTGAACAAAAAGTGTGCATGTTTGCAGTTCTTCGCGTGAAGCTTCACATGTATGACTTACTGTGCATGCTCATTTGGCCTTTGCTTGTCTAAGGAAATAGCAGGGTCTGTAGTTGTTAGCTCAACCCTGCAAAAAAAAGAGATCATCCATGATCGCGAGGAACGCAATGCTACTGCACGTCACATACATATGTCTAAACACATACATCTGCATGTAAATATATATATATGTATCAAACTCACCTGCGGCTCTCAAGCCCCTCTCTCACAAATGAACTTCAGAAAGATCTTTAGCAGTCAGTTCCAGCTCACCGATCATCCAGGTTGCCCGAGTTGCAGCACTCTGACTATTGCTGCTTGTGCTCGTTGACGCTTCTCCCTTGGGCCGAATTTCGGACGCAGCAATGTCATGCAATATCTAGAGTTTCTTTCTCTGTCTTCATGGTAGCAGTTCCGGAAGTGATCACAAACTACACTCTCACGATTCACTGATCGCTTCAACGGGCCTACATGTTTCAACCACGCATCTCAGGCGTGCTCCTCATGGCTTGCTGCTTTGCATCTTGCACCTCATTGGCTTCCTTCCTTGCCGGCTGCTCCCCGCTGATTGAGAAAGTTCATGCACCATGCGGTGTCCTCGGTTTGGCTGCGGGTCAGCTTGCTCGGTCGGAGCCAAAGCTGGAGCTTGGCTTCAGCTTCCTCTTCCATCCTATGGTCCTCTCTTGCTTGCCGCTTTCTGACGAGATATCTTCCACTGTTCCATCTGGATGCTGCTTAGCATTCTGTTTCCCAGCCTGCGCCGTGATCTTACTGCTCCAATTTCTTTGTTGTACGCCCCATCAGTCTGTCGTCCTTGGACAACCTTGCTGATGTTCACCCTGGCATGCTTCTCATCATCAAATCTTGGATGTTTGGGCTTTAGGGCTTAAAGGTATGGAGGTGTGACTACTGTCTGAGGTTTAGGGTGTGGCCTGTTCAAGGATCAGGGCTCAACGTTCCTGAGGCTTCAGTGAGTCTATTTTATTTACGGTTTGGCTTTGGGGTCAATCGTGGTACCGTTTTGTTTTTAAAGATTTGGTCTGGAGGCGGGTTTGGGGTTGTTATCTTGTGGAGTTCGGCATCTGTGCAGGAACAAGGTTGTTGGGCCATAGGGCTTAGACGGCTTAGGGTTCTGAGCTTAGGACTCTTTACTTTTCAGGGTTGGGGCTAGGCTTAGGCCTCCCGAGGGTTGACAGCTGACGGGTTACTGCGCTTTTGGAGCTTGAAGCTGTTCAGACCTCATGGCTTGGGCTAGTTTTGAAGCGGCAGCTGTGTAGGTTTCAGGTTCGTTCACGACTGGATCTAGAAGCGCCCAAGGCGCGACAAGTACCAAAACAACACACAGAGCAAGTTTTTTCGTTGAAAGTGGTCGGCAGGGACAGCAACAAATTGGTTGGAGCGAGCTGTTCCTGCTTTTGCTTTTAATAGATTCAGATAATGAAGGTTCGCCCGGCCGATGGCCCTTGCCACGTGTTCATCCATTCGGGCATCCGACAACTCGGACGCTGTACTCACCGATGTTTTGTACTGTTCCTAAACCCAGTCAGAGCAAACATGAGCAAATGGTGGCTCTAAGCCAAGATGGCGTCAAGCAAGCTTACACATGCTTGTGCAGCTGTTCGCGTAAAGCGTCAAGGCACCTCGCCCAAATGTGCCGGCTTCACTGACTGGTGGCAGCGGGGTCCAAAGCAGTCGCCAGCAACAGCAGGCCACGCGTGGGCCTTTGCATAGATTTGCATAGAATGTATGAGGCAAAGCAGCAATGCCAGCAACATGCCTCCAGCTTGTAGCTTGAACGGCGTGAATGCACTGGTAACCTGAGTGACTGCACAAAGTGGAAAGCGGTGACTTCAGAGCTTGCTGTAAGGCCAGGCAGCGCCAAGGATTCCCTGTAGCGGGACGAGGCAACAAGCCCTCGCCATCTGAGGCCTTTCGGCTATCTCAAATCTTCCGAAGCACTCAACAAGAACTTTCATCCTTGACTTGTATTCGCCCTAGCAGAAACCGAAACTTTCAGGCAAACTCGCTTGCCCAATACAAACATGCATCATCATGATGATGATCATCATCACGACATGTAGTCTCACGGCATAAACATCTGGCCTCTCACCCGCCGGCGCTTGGGATGCTGAGGCCGTGTGCTGCTATGTGTTTTTTCCGACACCGCCTCAGGAAGTCAACAGGACTTGAATATGTTCCCAAACGAGGGGTGCAGCAGCCTCTGGCGAATGCCACTGGGGTCGCAGCTGATTGAAGTCGCTCTTCCATTGTTGAAAGCTTGTGAGCTGCTGTTTGATGATTGTCCATGAGCTGCTGCAAAGTGTAGCGCACAAAACGGGTGGCGGTCTTAGATTCAAATGCCCACCGCGATAATGTCACTTTGAACTCGTCTGGGTCAATAGTGCCTCCGCCATCGTGGTCCAACATCCCAAACAACTGCTCCAGATCAGCCTGACACAAAGAAGCGGCAAGCATGCCCGATGACTGTTTGCTTAGGCTAGCTTAACACATGCCAACAAAACGCGCCTGATCTATGTCCATGACCCGCAGTCTGTTTTGGAATTCGCGCACCCGTCGTGCACCGTCTACCAGCTCTTGAAGAGTCAGCTCGCCATCTCCTCAAGCACTCAAGCATGATTCCGAATTATTTTCGAAATTCACCACTACCCTGACAACACTGCTTTTAAAGATCATCGCAAATTGCAGACTGGAGAAATTTCTGACAAGAGCCACCTGATGCCCCCTGCCCGTGCCGACAAGATTCCATCACCGTCGATTTGGGCAAACATCTTGTCTAACTCTCTCAAATCCTCCTCCTCATTCTCCTCCATCTCCTTAGCCAGGTTTAGTCCGACAACTTCTGCTTTTGCTGGATGACATCCTTGCGCATCCAACAGGCGCAGCATGATGCGGACATCTGCCTTCCATCCTGCCCAGGCGCCATCGCCATGTTTGTCACGTCTTTTGTGCGCTGCTCTGCAAAGGTGTCCACCACAACAGCAACCACAAGATTCAAGACACCGAAGACGATGGTCAGGTGGGAACCTGCAAATCAAGTTGATGATAGATCTCTTGCGCGCACATGCCACATGAACCGATAGATAACCTAAATGCCTATATGCACCTTTCTTGCAACTTGAAATCCAAGCAGACGCAACCCCTCCCCCGTGCTATGTAAGCAAGTCAGAGATGCAAGAAGCTAAGTTAAGCATATGCTTGTGGAGGTGCCAATAAGGTGGGCATAGAAGGGAGCGAGAGCAAGACAGGGCAAGCTGCTGGTCCTTAAACCAGGCAAATCCATGAAGGATTACCAGAGTTGCGCAGCGCTGGGCCAGCTGTATTGCTGGGAAAAGTATCAAAGCAAATCATGCCCATAGTCCTCTGGTAACCGACACTGGCGCTCGATATGTAGCGGCTCAGATTTTTGGGTGGCCTTTGAGGCGTGTTGCAGCAGCTGGCAAGCTTACGCCTCCGCCTTTTCTGTCGCGAAGCGGCACAGGTATGTCCAGGGCATGTGTTCAACGACTCTTCACAGCGGTTGGCACGATGTAGCATGATTACATGCCGAGTACATGCAGACCGTGCACAGAACAGCCTATACAAACGGAAAACAAAAACTTTTTTGGCGTGGAATCCTCACTTACCTAGTCCACATCGGGCCGCCAATGCCTCCCATGTTCTGCGTGTGATGGCCGAGCACGGGGCTGTTGCGTGAGTCTGGGGGTTCTCCCCAACGTTTGACCAGTTGCGACCGCAGTTGAGAAACGTTGAGAACTGGAGCCGGCAAAGGGTATCCATGCCTTGTCAAGGCCACAAGCTCGGTAGCCCCTGTCCGCCTCCACGCTTGACCCCAGGAATCTCAAAGCATCTGGCCCCGCACATGCTTTCCTGCCTATGGCTGCTAGATGGTTGTGTAAGCATTGCCTAGCTATGTGGTGACCATGCACCAACTCACATGTGGGGCGCTGCTCGTCATCTAAGTCTACAATCATAAGCTCTGCAAAATGAAGCTTACAGCGAACTTCATGCTGGCTCCCCTCAAGCTGTCAGCAACTGTACAAGGCCACAGGACACCACGAGATTTCAACTGACTTTCTGATCGTGCTACGGCAAAATACTTCTCTAACAGTAATGCAGAATGCCCTCCAAAACAATCTCGGCTGAAGACTTTGAAGTTCGACCATCTGGCTGGTCCAAGCTGAGCAGGGCAGGACGGAACATCAGACCCGCCACGTTTCAAGCCTTGCTTAAATTGCAGCACTGAGAAGAGGCGCTTCATGACTTCTCGACTTTCGGATAGGTTTCACCTTGTTGTCGTATCTGCTGTCTTTGAGGGACGTTGAGACCGCCATTGGGGGGTGCGGCGGGCTCTTTCAATGCACGTTGCTTGAGGTTGTCCTGCTGATGCCTTTCACATCCTTTCATCACGACCTGGGGTTCCTTCTTCTTATCTAATACTTGTCAACCCTTTTACGCAACGAGGCTGCGCACGCAACCCGCATTGTGGGTTGATGGTGCACACATTCAGTGATTTGCAATGTTAAGCTGCTTAAAACGGAGTCGGCCAACAGGCCTGCAACGGTCTCAGGCCTCATCCAGGCTTTATTTGTCTCCTTCAACAGTTCAGAAAATTGAGTGTAATGAACTGGAATTTTTGCGCGTGCCCGAGCACGTACGTCTTGCTTGACACCATAAGCCATTCATCAAATTTGCTGCGGTCAAAGTTCTGGCACTCAGAAAAGGTAATTCACCTTGCGTCCCATGCTAGTGAGCTTTTGCATATCGTATGGCCATGTAGTAAAGTGGGATCCAGATTCCCGCTGATATGCACTCGGCCCGGAATTGACGTTTCTGTCCGCCGACTGCGTTTTCGTTAGCTTGCATCGATGACTTCATGGAAGTCTACTTCCGAGTTTACTGTCTTAGTGTCTTTATCAAGGTTTCCGTTGGTAATTAGCTTGATTTTTAGTACTGAGTACTGGCTTCGTACTGGAGTCTATGTTTCCATGACCACGGCTGGATTTTCCTGGCTTCGCATTCCTGAGCTGGCTGGAAATGCTGTTTGAATCTCTTGCTGGTCCCGTATCGCTCCTTCAGGGGAGCGCAGGGGCACCTACAAGTTCTGAAGCCAAGCTAGCTTGGAGTAGCCTAGTCCGTCAGAGCAAAAAGTGCATTTGTAGCTATCACCCTCCGAGGGCTGTAACTGATATGCTTCAATCGAATTTTCTTGCCCGTAACTGCGTCATTTTCCAACGAGGCTATTCAGCGTGAGGATGCGTGAGATTGCAGAGGAGCTTTCAAGGTGCGAGCCGGGAAGCCCATGAAAATCACAAGAGCCAGGGGAAACTCTTGGATCACCGGCACTGCAACTTCGCCCCAGCTGTCTCCGGCAATTACTGTTTTGAAGATCAGCAGATTGGCGTTCATGACCTGGTCGCAGGCGTAGCCAACTAAAAAGAGCTGCTACAGGCATGCAACACGGCACTTATACCTCTAACCATAACCTGGAATCGTAAACATGACAAGGCACGGAGCTCAATGAATTGGAGCAGAAATCGCCACACTCTTTCCAGTGTTCCTTGGCTGCGACATATGCGGAAATCTCTCTTGGCCAGCGGTCCAACTACCTGCCGTTCGGCAGGCCACTTTGATACGATAAAGAAAGAGAGAGAGAGAGAGAGAGACAGAGAGAGAGAGAGAGAGAGACAGAAAGATTGTGTGTGTGCACGCCCTGATTGCCAATTCCAAGGGTTTCATTACTATTTGATTTCATGACAACAGCAGGAGGAATCGGCTCCTAACCAGCTACCGATTCCAACGAAGCTATGCTGCTAGGATGGATGGATTTTGGGACGCCAAAATCTGTACCACTGCTAGGGGACCGAAACATACCGAAACCATATCCCCTCTCATACGCCTCGTACCAGGGACAGGACCCTATCCCTACTACCGTGTACTATGAATGTTCCACACACTGCCTGGACATCGCACAGAGTCCACGACAGGGGTAGCTATTCTCAATGCTTGGCATTGGGGACAGGAGCGCAGATGACTGGATCCTTATCCTCGTTACGTTTGTGCTTGGGACCGACCCATTATCCCACAATCGCGCCAAGGACAGGACCCGCATCCCTAATACTAGGCATACGACGACCGGACGGTGCAGAGGACAGGACCCTTATCCTCATT